AAGTAGAGCTATAATTCTTTATTATCGTATATTTCATTCGAATATGCATATTTCCGCTACAAAAATGCATTAATGTTTCGATGCAACATATTATCTCATCAAGCACCTGATGAGATGCTATGTTTCATATATATATATATATATATATATATATATATATATATATATGTATACTTAATTGCACTCTTACAGTCAAAATGAGACTGCTGAAATTTCTGGGAGACATACTGAGGAAAGAGAACCTGGAGAATTTAACACGCATAGAATTTGCCAAAAAAAGAGCAGCGAATAAACTGCTTGCACCCTTGCGAATGTGTATGAATGAATGGCAGCACAATCATCCACTGTGCCATATCTCCTTGAGTTTGACATTCCAACCACCTGAAGAAGGCCGTAGCGTACAACCGCCGAAACGTTCTGATAAATATGGCAACAAAGATGAGGTCAATTGTCCGAATAATGCCTCATATCAGAATATAGACAGATATCTATTTTCTCTCTCTCTCTATATATATATATATATATATATATATATATATATATATATATATATATATATATATATATATATTATAGTATTAAAAAACATCTTACTGGATATATATATATATATATATATATATATATATATATATATATATAACCCACGCCTTTATTAACTGTGTGATGTGTCCTTCAGGCAGTGGAGAACTTGGAGAGGTGAATTAACAGGAGATAACTGATAACAGACATCCGTTATTCATTGCACGTGGAAGTAGAACAGTCCATCCAAGTGAGCGAAATAAAAGCGTTCAGTTCGACATTCTAAACACCTGAAGAAGGCCGGAGCATACAACGGCCGAAACGTTGAGAAAAATATGGCGACAAAGATGAGGACAATAGTTCGAATAATGTAAATAGAAAGTTAAACAGTAAGTAACGAAATATTACGGTAGACAGTATATGACAACATTTTCGCGACCGTATGCCGTGGATCCAAGTGACCCTTTGTCATTGATCTTTTCCAATATATATATATATATATATATATATATATATATATATATATATATATGGATTGCAAAGATTGAGAAATTTAGACCTGAACAGTTATTACGTATATAGTCATTACTTAAACGATATTTTTTAGTGGATACTCATAATTTAATAAACGCTCTGTTTACTTATTAAACAGTATATTTATTTCTTTTCGTCTGCCGTTCTGAATATTCGAGAAATCTTATTAAAGAAAGACATGTGATCTTCGGCAGGATTCCAACCTGTGTCCTCCATGGCATGAGAAACTGTCGTTATATCACACGTGCTTTAGACCGAATCGCAAAAACTAAGGCGCGTTAATGTACTCTAAATTGATTCGTAACTGACCCGAAGAAGGACAACATTGATTCCGACGGAGTCCTTCCAGACAACCAAACATATTACAAAGATTTTTTTCCAGGTTTTCATTAATTCGCCCAATAAATATATATTTGTGTACATGTATTTAAGAAAAGTACATTCACATTTTCAAACCTATATCATTTATTTTCGTTATAACGAAATACGTATCTTGTCCATTATATCAAAAGAGTTGGTGATCGAGGCTGATAAAATAATGGTCACACATAGAAAAATTGTAACTCTTATCTTGGTTAGAAAAGCGTATTGTTTCATAAAACAAGACAGCACTATAAACAATATAATATAATAATATAATATATAATGCAATAATATAATATACAATATATATGCAAATAATGTATATATATATATATATATATATATATATATACAAATAATAATAATAATAACAATAATAATGATAATGGACTTTCCCGGCGTTTTCGACGTATGTGGATCTGACAGCTTAATTGATTCAGTTATGAAATTTTGTGCGATAATCTTAAGTGTTACTTAAGACCCGCTAGTGATTTACAAAGGAGGCCACATATTGAGCAAGAGTGAGATGTTAGATTGGCTGGCCTTTTAGATCTTGCTCTCGCTTCTTGATGAAGTTTCAGACAAGCAGATTGAAAACTGCTGAGTCCACTAAAACACGTTGATCTCCATTCTACCCGCTCCAAGGCTAAGTGCTCAAGGGTGTTA